TCAACCCAGACACAAGAACCTGGCTGTGCACTCTGGTATTTGCCAAAACCAGCCACAGCTTTCCTGGGCCAGCATGGAGCAGYCTGCAAGGGCCTGGCTCCAGACAGAGCTCACAAAATATCCCAATGACCTGCCATGGCAAAAACAAGAAATGCAGCCACAGTTTTAGGCTGTAAATCCAGGCAAGAGGAAGGCTGTTCCAACCAAGGACAGAGACAGACAGTCACCCCATAAAACTGGTTGTGTTTGACATGCCAAACCTCACTGCTCCTGGGAAGAAGCCTCAGTCACATCTCTGCAGGGAAGAGCTGTTAGTGCACACGCCGGGAACAGTGCACACAGAAAGGCCTTGTCCCAGAGAAAATGAGGATTGTGCAACAGCAGCTCTGCTACATTTTATAACAAGGTTAGAGGACCCTCCACTGGAGAAAACTTCCTGCAGGGGGGGAGGGAAGGGGTTCTGGCCAGCTCTAGCATTCCTAACCATTAATCTTTTCAAARCTACAGACTGAGAAGATTTGAGAACTCTGTTGAAGATATTAACCAARAATTGGCTTCTGCACTCAGAGTTTGTACCATTACTTACATGTAGCTGGGAAAGGTTAAAAAGTGGCCTCTTCCCCAAAGGGCAAGAAAAATACTGTGGCTATCTCTATTATAAGATATTTAGCCATCACTAGTATGTTTGTGTTTTAAGAAAGTAATTAGTCTCCAGAAGGTGATTAAAATTTGATAAATGACCACAGTTTCTGGAAGATGTCTTTCAGCTGGTCTTTATCCCCTGCAACTCAGACACTAAGCTGTCATCACATCAGCCAAAGGTGAGGGATTTTTGTTTGCCACAATCATAAAACTTTCACTCAATATTAAGAGTTATCAGAACCAGAAACTATGAATTCAGATTTTAATAACAGATGAAAATTTCAACTCTATGCCTAATGCCCATCTGCTTCTGAAAGACAGTAAGATGATTCAAAGCTGGTAATCTAATCACAAACGTCTTTTCCTAGGCAATGAAAAAAACCTGGATACAAGCTGTCAAAACAACCTCCTCAGCCACATAGTTTCTGCTGAATGGAAAACATACCTTACAATCTGTCTGCATTCTGCTTCAAACCTTGGAGGAAAACAAGAGATGCTSTTTATGGACTTTATCGCTGCTCCTGTGTACGTTACATTCTGAAATAATTCTATTTATAGGCATCATATGTAACAGTACAGCTCAACTAAGACTATAGTTCAGGCATGAGAGCTGTAAACTGAAGCTGAAAACCACYCAAGCTAAATCACCAGAAACAAAGCATTTCTCAGGGTGGCACTACTAGAAAAAAAATGGCAGCTTCCCAGGTCCTCACATTTTTGCTGCTTCTCCTTCATGATGACGAGTAACAGAAAGATCAATTATCAGGATGTGGATATGTCCAGCAGAGCAAGCACATAAGCAAATCTACAAACTGAATTCAGGGCTAGATACTTTTACAATTCTCTTCAAAGTTGTTCCGTAGTTCATATGCAGGAACGATCAGATGAGGTGGCATTCTCACCTCCTGAGAGTAGCAGTACTCCAGGTTTCAAAGGAAAAGTTCAAGAAACCCCATGAAGGGAAGGCAATGTCTTTGAAAAAAAGCCTTTAAGACACTTCACCTAATTCCTTAGATCAGATGCTCTTACTGCCAATGCTGTCACGTTTMCCTCTTGAGAATTACAGAAGAAAACAGCCCTTATGTGGTAACCCATAATTCAAATTTTTAAAATTCCTGTCCTGCTTGATTTCAAAAAAGCACCTCCCTACCTACCCAAGACTGTGCAGCAGCTCTAGGTATGTAGGTCCAATGTCTCCTGGGACAGGGACTCCACAAGAGATGGTTGTGGTATCCCTGCTGGATGACAGGAGAGTCAACCACTYCAGCAGTTGCACCTTTGGGACAGTTGCTGCTCCAATTCCCCTGAATTTTCCCAAATGAAACAGTGTGGAATTGCAGTGGCAGAGGGTGCCCTGGGCCTTTGCTAGAACAGCACCCCCAGCCAAGGAAGTCCATGGTTCTCASTGGCTGCTCCGTTGGGCAGCAACACCAATTCAACACCAACTCAGCTTCTCAGCAATGTGCAGGCAATAAAAAGGTGGGACTTTCTGGCTGACTTGTTCTGCTCTCCTGGAGGCAAGGGGAAGTGCTGATCCAGTCTGAGCACATTGCAAGGACAGGAAATAGCCTCAGAGAAATTAAAGAGGTAACATATCCTCATTCTTTCTCATAGGAATGCAGAAAGGAGAAGAAAGGATTAAATTATTCAAGGCTGAATAGCAASAAGTCAGCTCATGGTTGTTACCTACCTCAAAATTCACAGGGTGGTCTTAAATGGAAAAGAGACTCTCTCTTAAATGACAAAGAGACTGCAGAACTCAGCCCATTGCTTAGCTAAATCTGCTTCTACTGCAGAATAAAAAAGCCTAATATAAAAGGCAAAGACCAGAAGACACAGGCACAACAAATAAATGCATAACAAACGAAGACCAAAAATATGTATCTACTCATTATTAGCCATCCCTCTTTGAACTCCCAAAACATGTTACTATTAACTGACTTGCTAATTGTCTATGAAAATCAAAACTCAGCTTTCTTGYTTAAAAAGTTTCTGAAAACATATTCAAATATTAATAATAGAAAAATGAACCATTTTTATAACAAAAATTTTGATTTATTACAAGCTGGAACTGGTTAAAAATAAATCCTTGACATAAGGTTCTTGTTAGCTTTAAACTGTAAGCATAAAAATACCCTAGAATTATGTTTTGGAATGGCTGAAATGTACACTATATAACACATAAAAAGCGCCTTGACTTGCTGCTATTATTTTTAATTAGGCTCTCTAGCACGTATGGTTTTACCTTGCAACACCAGTTCAAATTGGGAGAAGGGAGGGTCTGACACTCCAGACTCATGGGACTGGCAATTCCATGGCTCATGCCTTGGAGCACTAATGCATTTTACATTAGGTCTAAGCATCAGGAAATCCTGGCTGCTGGCGCCAAGCAGTTCCAACCCATAATGACACCCATCTGAAAAGTCGGATTCGCCATTCAGCTGCCAGTATCTATTCTATCAAACAATTCACTCCTGCTCTGCTACAAATAAGACAGAACATTTGCAGCACTCCACACTGTTTCCAATTAGACCATGTGTCTGGACTGCAGATAAGTCCATAGAGCAATCATATTGAAAGAAGTCTTCCTAGAAAACAGAATTCTAGTGAGAAAACTGAGTATTTCCAGARGCCATCATCAATGGGCCAACCTGCAGGTTTTCTGTTTTCTTTATTGAGGTGAGCCTTCAGAATGCCTTGAAACATGCAAGAAAATTCTACAAATGCTTCATTTAACTAGGTATACACCAGATGTACTTTGCTACTCATTTTAGTTAGAATACAATCCAATTAAAAAGCAGTTTACTACAGAGCTCCCTCATGAGGGACTGCAATTTGAGGCTGAATGATGTGCCATCACTTTTAACCAAGGACACTGAAGATGCTTTTGTTTCCCAGCTGAAAGCTTTCTGGCAAAACAAGAGTATCTTGACTGGGGCTTTCTCTAAGTTTATTGGAAACAAGAATCTGCAATTTCCACCCTACACACCTTTCCCCATACCTCCAGGTGGGCATGAGGACTGTTGGGAGCATGCACCATCCAGTGTTCTGGTTAACAGAGAAATTCACCACCTCATGGGCTGTGTGTCTGTTCTGAAGTTAAAAATGGTGGGTCACTAAGACCCCAAGAGCAGCACAAAACTCACACTTCCCTCTGTTTCTGTCCTACCTGCAAGCTCTGCAACAAAGGTTGCACATTTGGAAGTGATCAGCACCAGCATCCCCCTCCCAAACATAGACTAACAATAGTCTGAACTTGATGCTTACTGAGTATAAATACTTACTTTTTTTTCTAGAGATACATCTCAAGTCTTTTTGTTTTTCCTAAGAATGTTAGTTATTTTAATTTGTCCTTTAAAATGTTACCACCATTCCACCCTTTTACTTGTACAGCTTTTTGGTGCATCACAGATAGAATAAACCAACAAAAGTTAACTGTCCACTGCCCTTGAACAATTACAAGAAGCCAAAATAAAGCAGAAAAACCTTTTTTGCTTCAGCTGTACATATTGTGAATAACTTACATTTTACAAATAGTTCTTGGTAGTGAAAATAACAGTCTACCTTTGGAAAGAAACATCTTCAGCCCCAGGGCTATGCATATCCAGATAGCCCAGTTAAAGTGAATGCTGTACCCTGACTATCATTTGAAACATTTCCTGCTAATGAGTGCACAGAATTCATACTTTGTAAAAGGCACTTCATAAATGCTACAACATCTATGGAGATTTCTTTCTTAGAAATGAGTCTTTTGTATTTGAAACTCGAGGGAGAAGTTTATTCAGAAATTCTAACTTAAACAGCTTGCCAACACTGAGAAGGAGAGGTCATTGACCAGAGGGGAAATTCAGACAAACATCCCCAGAAGTCAAGCTGATGTCTTTTGCTAATATAGTCCATTTTCAAAGTGCCCTCAGAAACCTAACTGAGAATACCTTGGAAAGACTTAGGTTAAGGGAAAAACACCAAAAAACTCCAAACTCACAGAAACAGCTTTGGCAGSTGAAAGACTTCTTCTAAATTTAAGAAATTGGAAACAAACATCTGTGTTATCAGCATCTCAAGCCTCTCCTTAAATGTTTCCCAGTGTCTGAAGAGTATTTGAGTAGTTGTCATAACTGGTAGGTAGTTGTGTGTTCTGGTGTTACTGTTCTAGTCTACAGCTTTTGGAAAGCTATGATGAATTAACACATATGTTAGTATGTTAAAATAAACATCAATTCATACAACAGACTAGAACTGCTTTGTCAGTCTAAATCATGGACGCAAAAATTATTGAGGACTACAAAGGAAACCCTGTAAAGAAACTTGAAGAGCCACTGTTGGATTATAAGAATTCTTCACTGAGAGCAACTTACGTGCCAGAGAAGGGGTGCTGCCCGACCAGGTCTCCATTCTGAAGCTGGTAATCCCTGAAGATGTCTGGACTTACTGCTCCATCCGGGGCTATCAGCCCATCTGGAAAAACAAGACACAGTGACCTGTAAAGGAGACAGACTTGAGGGCAAGTGGGCAAAGCAACCTGCCCTGGTTTGTCTTAGCAAKTCCACTTACAGTGTTTCTGTGAGAAACAAAAATCAACAACACTGAAACCCAGTAACTTCAAGTACCAAAAATCCTTACTGGGATTCCAAGGAGCTCAGCTCATTGCCCTGAAAAATCCTGTTCCTAAGAAATATCCTCTTAGCCCATCTTCCTTAAGCCTATAAAAGTTATTTCAAGACAAATCTTGTCTTTCCCATCATCAAAGTAAGCCCAGAGAACAAGTAATGAAAAAGGTAAAACATTAATCTGGGCCAGCAGCATAAAAATAAAAATGAAAAATAGCAGCAAAGGTCTTAATAATTGTTCAGACTCTACTTTGCACCACTGTATCTCTTCAAACTTGTTAAGAGAAACAAGAAAGTGACCTCAAACCTATTTCTTTTATCTTGCCCATCTTTTAAAGTCTCAGAGSTCTTTCCTACAAGGGCAGGCTTTTCATGTGATATCYTCTYAAGAACACAGGTTACAGTTTTTTTGTGCTTCCTTTACATTACAACACCGGCATATGAAGATGCAGATATTTGTAAAGCCAGAAGTATTCCTCAAAAACTTCACAGTCTGTGCTTGCTTTATGAGGAAAAGAAAATCAGGAGCTAACATCTTCCTTCTGTTACATCAATGTAAATCCAGAGAGTGTCTTTGAAGTAAAGTCACTGAACTGACCCCAGCTGAACGAGAGCCCAGYTTAACTCTTTGTTGTTCCCATTCACAAAACACATTTCTTTTTAATATTAACGGCACATTCTCACTTGGTAATTAATATTAGGCTCTAATCAGATAAAACAAGTTATTTCATTAAAACAGACCCTACATCAGTTTGTCTCCATTACTGTATGAAAACGATTCCAGRCCTGAAGTGCAGAAAGCATCCCCATAAAACCAGGGCAGAAACAGGTACATTCAGACTGCTACGTTAAGAGTTTAAGAGAGGGAAGAAAGAGATTCTTAATGACTAGGAAGTTACAAATGCCATTCCACTTTRAAGAAAGAAAGATAAGATCCAGGGAGTCACAGGCCACTTAGCTTAACCTCTGTGGTTTCAAAACTACTAAAACTGCCTTYGCAGGAAGCGGTGGAAAGTTACTYACAGACACAAGGGCTTAGAGATGAAGACTCTGGCATTCAAACAAATCTCCCCGTGCTTTATGAATTTACCTGATGTTTTTTGAAGATAATATAGTGACAAGTGATAAAAGGAATAGAATTGACACATCTAGATTTCTAACAGACATTTGATGAGGTGCTACAGAGATTCATTTAGAAGATAATACCTCATGGGAAAGTGACTGAATCCAAGGCAGCAGACTGCAAATGAAAAATGCCAGCCATGATCAGACCACATTTTAGCAGCATCAGATTGCTGTACATGGCTGTGCTCTAATTGTGGACATGTGTGTACAGTATGTGAAGGAGTATGACTTGACAAGCAAGTGATCTGGCAGGGATCAATATTCCTGTCTCAGCATGGTCAGCGGGACACGAGTGCCCTGTGATATCATACAAATAGAAAATGGCCAAAGAGGTGAAAGGGAAGTTGAAATGGCCTTTATTAACACTTGTGCCAGATTTTCTTATCTCATCACCTAGACTGCATGCTCCACTGAACTGAAATGAGGAACATTATGACTTTTATACCTGCAGCACTTCAGATCAAAACCAATCCGTTTAAGCGACCTTGCATTTTAAATAGTCAGGCTTGATTAAAATTTCTTTGAGAGCAGAGAAATTTAAAAATAACATCTGTCTTTATATTAATAAAGCAAGCACTACATTTTAACTCTGAGGCTAGAGCTACCACTACTTAAAGTGTCTTCAATCAAGAGTGTTAACAGTCAAACCATAACACTCAGAGTTATGGCTCACATGAATTTAGAGGAAAATGAAAGCACATGGATAGCATCAGCTGCATAAAATGTGATTACACAGTTAAAGGACATCTGTTGTTATGTACATTTCAACATAAATTAGGTTATGTACTTTCAGAGCAAGAGAGACACTGAGCTCAGGAAGGCAACTTCAGAGATTCTGCCACATTTTTCATGTAGGTTTAAATTACTGTGCAAGAGAGAGATTGGTCTGTCATGAAATAAAGAACTCATTTTGCCATCAGTGAGCTCAAGTACCATTATGGTAAAGGTGGGACTTGTACTAAGTGTCAGCCATCAACGTATTTTTGCTGTTTTGTTTCTTTTTTTACCAAGCAATGATCTGTCCTTCAGAAACCCAAATCCCTGCTCCAATTGGTACATGAACCCTTTCAAAGGGATATAATGTCCCTTTTGAGATGCTGCATGCCAGAAGTTGAAGTCTAGCAAAGTGCAGAAGCACACAATTACTGACACTTGTTGCAATGAACCTGAGAAGTGAATCTGCTTTTTGAATATAATCACTCCTTAGAAAGGGCTACCTTTAAAAACAAAAGSACATGTCAAACATCTGCAGAACATATCACTAGAATTCTTACCTCTTACTCCCAGTCAAATATCAATTCCAACACAAAAAACTCTTGGTTCAAGTAACATTAAACCTGTAACATACATGAGTAAAAGCCAGGAAATTCAGTGTTGCTGGTGTCACTCCACCTATAGCTTTTGGGAACAGAACTGTCCCTACGAAATAAGCAATTGAGACCTGYAAAGGGAGACTTACAGCAGGCACATCTTCACCTTAGGAAGCCCAAAGGAGATGATGAAAAGCCCTCATAAGGTACAATACTTGGCTCCCACTGCCAATCCTGTTGTATAGTAGAGTAAGATACAGCTATAGGATCCAAAAGGGAAAAAAGTATGACACTAAAGAGGCAAGAGGCAATATGCAGTCAAAAGTAGAAGAAAAAGAAGCCTTTTGTTCTGATATCCTTTGAGAAAGTGTTTGAAATGCTACTGAGATCTTGCACAATCATTTTCTTGCAGCAACTATGAGTGAAGATTATGGGGTTTAGTGGTTTTGTTTTTCTAATTACTCTTCCTGCAAATTCATCCACAAAACAGAGTTTTGTGACTCATGCTTCATGGCAGAGGACTGGACACTTATGTGGAAAATGAAAAACACAGTCTCAAACCCAGCAATTAAAAAAACAAAATCCATGCACTCAGTTWTCCAGGAGTTTGAAAAGGATCTAAAGCCACAAGTTTGAGAGGGTAAGCCAACTCCTAGTTATGAAAAGTTATGAAGACATTTATGCCCTGGGCAAATTATTTCATGATTGCCTCCTGCAAAGTGTTTTTCAACCTTCTCTGAAACAGCTGGCAACATTGGAGTAGATAAATCAGCTTTTACAAAACAGATTCACACATTTCCCTAAATCCTAGATACACAACAGCAAAAATCATGAGGATACATTTGTTTGAAGTCACGGAATGATGGCCTCTGCTAAAGAATCTGAAAGTTTGACATGGSTCAACTGAAGTCTTTCATCAGTATCTGCAATAAAAATTCCATGACACAACTAACAYACAAAGCATAACAAAATTCAGCATAAATCCCACAGCTGTGAATTCAACAGGGATGAGAGGAGGTTTGTGTTTGCAGAGTAAACAAGCTATGGACACAAGAAACAAGCAGGAAGAACAAGGCTGTGCCACCTTTACCGGAGTCAATGGTCCATTAGATCTCTGAGACAGGTCTACTCACATTTCTGCAGACCTGGAACGTTTCCTAAAATCATGGATATACAGTACTTAATCCATCATTAACATTCTAATAAGACCAAGCCCATTTCTGGCTGGCATCAGTGCTGCTCCCAATAACACAATAAGGGAACTGTTGTGCTGATTTGAGCCAGGCCCAGGTCAAGCTCCCACTCCAAATGCAGAGGTGGCAATCCCAGTTCTAAACACTGACATGTGCYGCCTTACCTGCATTATAGTAGAGGTCAGGTCTTTCCAGAATATCCCCTTCATGGATGTAGGGCTCAATGGGATCATCACCATACAGGTACTGCTCACTGTCATCCATCTGCCGACTCTCCACCATCTCCAGCCACTGGGAGTTGTGCCATCGAAATTTCTCCGTCTGGATTTTTTTAGCCCATTCCTCATCATATTCCTGTTAAAAACAATCACAGGGAATTTTAGCATGACAAGGCCAGGTGTAACAGGAAATGGCAGGGGAATCCAATATCAGAAAAATATGCAAGTTCAGGGTCCAGTGACTTAAATACTCTATTCAGTTGCACATTCTGTGAGCAAAGAAGAGATTTTGCAAGCATGGGGCAATATTCTGGTTTGTAAAACTGCAGTCAATCTTCCCTTCATGGTTTGTAACTTTACACCATCCAGAAAAAACTYCTGCTTTGAACAGAACAGTTCCATCATCAGTGTCCTCATTTGGTTTAATTAAGAAGACTCAATTACTGCCAATCTTCAGGGGATTTTTAGTAATTAATTATTAACACTGACAAAATACCCTGCACATCTTCATTAGATGAGCATTCACCAGGACAATGATTTACTAAAAAGTAAATATTAGTAACTTAAAAAGGCTGTGATAAATTTTAAAAATGTTGTGATAAAACCAGTAAGTTTATTTTATTTCATAAGCTACAGTAAGAATTTCATTTCCAACTTCATGTCAAATTCTATGTATAATATTGAAYAACCACAAAAATGGTACACAACTAAACTCTTGAGAGTAACTTCTCCAAAAAAACATGCAAAACAGGATATAGGGTCCAGYCACTATGGGAAAACATGTAGGCATGAAGTTTCAATCTGGATTGCAGCCTAATTGTACTCAAGTGATGTGATATTCAGTATAAATGAACATCAGCATGATGTGACATAGCCTATGGTCACTGAAATCAGCTKTGCAGAGAAGGATCTTCTAAACAGAGCAAACTTTGTGGGCTGGTGATTACCACTGAGAGAACTCAGTTCCTCAGTCCTACTGGGAAGATGGAGCACAGCTATCTCTAGGAAGCTCATCAACACATGAAATCTGCAGAGGGTATCAATTTGGGAAGAATCACAAATAATGCACCATATTTAGAGCTTTTTTAAACCAAAGTATTGTGAACAACATCCCTAACCAGAATGTTTCTTCTTGTGGGAAGAAATATCCTCATGAAACAAATCACACTCCACTGTCTTCTAACCTAACTACAAAGGAGAGAAAAATTGAAAATAATTTCTTAACTCTCATAGTGGTTAACACATGATCTAGACAGACTTTTCTTAAGAGATCTAAGCTGGAGTAGTCTAAGGCTTTAAAAATCTGTTTTACTTAGCCCTGAACAGGAAGACAACACACAATTAGTGACWATGCCTTGGTTGTGGAAATGGTAATTTCTTCAGTTGCTCCTGTTAGACAGGCCAAAGTAGATCTGTCTACACCCACAGGTCATAAAACAGCAGAGAAGGCAGACTAAGCTGGCTTAACAGCTCAGGTAAACTTCAGATATAGTCTGAACACGAAGTTTTAAACAGACTTAATATTCAACCAACCTTGCCTTCACTGCTATCATGTGTTACACAGGTAACACTCTCTACCCTGTGCCTTTTCCATCTTTTCACTGGTAGGTAACACAAAAACCAGCTGGCCCTGCCAGTGTGGCAGAAGTTACTCTGACATCACCAACAAGTATCAAGAACATMCAAGATTCCATTATTCTCGATTTCTCCAGTTCCACCTCTGACCAACACTAATTCCTAGACCTTGCTAATTCCACTCCACACAATCCTGGCACTCCTATTCAGAGGTCCTGTTCAAAACCTGCATAACTTCCATACCCAGAGCAGGTATCACCTGTGGGATCCATAGATATTCTCACTGCCTTGGGGCCTCAAACAAAATTCCACTTTGTGTCAATATTTAGAGCACCCTTTGGGAGGAAGAAAAGACAAGACAAAACAAACCACCCAACCACCAAAACCCAGCAAACATACACTTACGCCTCACACTGTTTGGCAAAAAAAAAAACATCAGGCCATTTCTGCCTCTTAATTTTTACCCCCCATTTCCACACTGGATTAAAAGGAAAGGCTAGAAGGACCAGAACAAACAAGAATGTCCCTGGAAAAAGAAAGCTCATCACTGACATTTTTAAGATGACCCATAAAAAATAGACAAGGCATGACTTTCAATGATGACATCTGACCAGCATCTTGGAAAAAAACTCCTTTGCTGCATCTGCCAGAGTGAAACCCTGGGTTTGCTATTATGTCAGYCTCCAGCAGTTGTGAATTACCGACAAGCTTTAGAGAAACATCTTGCAACTGCCAGAAATCATACTGCAATTTTAAGAAAACTATTCCCAAAAATCATGATGGCAAAGAAGTGAGGGAAAATAAATTTAACAAACAAGTTAGACTAACCTATGTGAAAGCTGAATYCCTTTTACATTAACTTGTTTACGTTTAAAAGTTCTCAAAAGTCAAGAGGCCATTGGCTAAATCACCTCATTCACATTTACAATAAATGCACTTTGAATATTCTCACAGTTACAACCCTACATGTATCCTGCTTGCCCAACATCACAGTTCCATTCCATGCCATTTCTGAACATGCTGAATGTCTGTCAGAGACAGACATCAACTTCTTAYATCCTTCTTAGAAAAATCAGTTAACATTTCTGAAATTCTAACTGATTTTCCCTTTAGATGAYGACAGCAAGACAGAATATTCCTATACATTCTAATTTTCTATTCTACATTAAGAGGCTTAAGACTCCCAGGTATTTTTCCTCATTCATTTAAATTATGGAAAATGGGATTAACAATCAAATGGCACATTACTTAAAAAACACAATTTATCCAGTAATTGGATAAATYGCCAATTCCAGTAATTGGCAACTTTGTTCTTGTTGCTCATTCACAGTGAAAAATGCAAGGTACAAATGTTACAAAGAAGTGACTGCACCAGAATCAGGTCAATGATCAGTTTTGCCAAGAGTTTCATTCTGGCAGCAATCACAGAAAAGGACGACCTGCAATAATCTGGAATGACTTGCACAACCTCAGCAGAAAGAAAATTCATGAAAGTACTGCTAGATCAGGAATAGGTCTGTAGTTCTTCCACAGAAATATGCAGAATCAAYACTGGGTAAATGATTAATGGAATAACATTAGAATGGAAAAAAAGCTGTAAATGCAGGACTACAGCCAAAAGGYACAAAGAAACCAAATTAAAGATGTTTAGAGCAAAACAATTCCCTAAAACACAGTAAGTCTTMCAATAATTATATTTTGAGCTATTGAAATATTTTTTATTGTTATTTTGCAGGGCTTGGTTTTCTATTTTGTTTGGATTGCATTTTGGTTTTTAAACACATRAAGCACTCTTTCTTTACAAAGAAATTCCTGTAAAAATGAAACCAGAAAACTAAAAACCATGGAGATGCAGCCACAGCTTTGAGTCCTCCATTCCTTTTAAAAGTTAGGCTACTGGAAAAGCACTGTATGGGAAAATAAGAAGGTGAACAGAATGTGCCTATTCTCCAACACCACCCCCTTCAAACACTGCAGTCWTGGTCAGAAACTTAAAAGGAAGAATTCTGAAAGCTGATTTTATTCTCTTTGGAGCTCCCTGACATCACTGTTTTTAACATTCGGTTTCCATAAATCCAGAAGTGTCATAGAAGATGTATGGCTCGACTCCGGGAGGAATGTGCCATCCTTTTTGAAGTTCTACTTCCAACTTTGTTTACTACTGAACCATTGAAATATTATGAAGCGTTAACTGGCCTATTATCAATGTGTGTCTGTTCCCTATCAGGGTCCCCTTTGTCACTGGCTTCCGTCACACCTTGTATCTGATTAACACACTATAGGATAACATAGAGCTACACAGATCTGCTTTGTGTTCTCTCACAGCTGATGAAAAACAGATTTTCCTTTGCACTTTAATGTGGTTGCCCTTTAATTGGGTCTGTAATAGGGTTCATTTGATGTGATTCCTCATACCCAACTGAAACTGCTATACAATAAGTAAAATGCTCATTATGTTCAAGGCTCTGCTTGGTGATATGTTACATTCTTCATTATTTAACTACCCTGAAAGAAACACTGTTTACATGAAAGATTAAATTAACCATTTATTAAGAAAGGAAAGATTTATCTTGTCTAGCTATCCAAAAGTTAGGCATGTGATTTTAACTACATGCCTCCATAAACCAAGGAGAGAAACAGATGTTAGGGATCACCTTCTGCAGGTGTCTCCCACACCTACCTTAGGCWGAGTACCACTGGAAGGCAATTGCTTCACAGGCCAGGAAAAAAAATCCTTCTACCACTTACACCTGTGCAACTCAGAGTCACTTCTTTACAATCAGCTCCATCACTAAATATATTTTGACAGGAAGCTCATAGAAATTTGTGAGTTGAAACTAATGGCAAGGCAAAAAAAAAAAAAAGAGTAACCATATATGCCCTTTAACTTTAGGTAGCTACATAAAATGTAGGGCACCCCTGAAGTTCCTATAATAAAAAGATAAACTTTTTAAACTCTTTTTTCTTCCCCTTTGGAAGAAAAGGTATGGAATGTAAGGTATCTCACAGGCAACCTGTCATGTAAGCAAACACAGATCAGTGGTTTGCCTCACCTGCCTAGTCCTACAARTCCAGAGAGCAGGCATCAATGCTGAAAGGGATTCTGTCCAAGACAGGTTTTACGTGAAGATAAAACCACGCGGGACACTCTTGTCCTATCCATGCTGCCTGTGGTTACTCTGTTGCAGGCCACCAGCACCAAAGCAGACTCTAACAATACAGATAATTTAACAATGAAGTTGAACAGAGAAAACATGTCAGCAGTTCAGCTGCAGCCCCACTCCATCACTGCCCTTCTGCCCACCCCTCTGTTTTCATGTTTGCTGCAGGATAACAGGGGAACCAGATGCCCCACAGAAAGGGGGTCTTGTCAAGTGATGGGAGAACCTTTTTTTCCTGGAGTGTCTACAACACTCTTCATGGAAAGATGACACCAAGCTGGAGTCAAAGGTTATCTATTTTCARAGTATGCTGCCTATTCAAATAAAGCCCACACCAAATCCCTGTGGTCTGCTCTTCCTTGACTCCAACAGWGCTGGCCAACATCTCACACAGCTGGCCCCAAATCCCAGAGCACTGAGGATTCACAGCACATTCCTGCTTCTTATGTGAAATTCCAGCATTGCCAATATGGAGGATTTCTATCAGGGAGCTTAGCTAACAAGGAAAGATGCAAGCTGCTCATTAACAATGATTTCCATAAAAGGCAAACATTATTTGCCTTTCATTACAAATAGCCAGAGCAAAGAACTGGAAAGAACACCTTAGGCATGAGGCCCTTCCTAAATCCCAAGGACAATGCTGTAGCTATATACAACATGTTTTACTTCTGCAGGAAGTATTGTCATTCATTCTTGATCACAAGAGAAACAAGATGATCCAGCAGCTCTGGATTCAAAGCTGTAAAGACACTGAATAGGAAAATAGGAGGGAATGGGAAAGGGTCAGACCACAGAGTCCAATGATCTGATGATGGTTAATTAAACATTCTTTGAATAAATGAGGAAAATATTTTGACTGCAATAGAACTGAGCTAGAAGCAGAAGAAAAGAGACCTGAGAGATTAGCAGCCCCCTTGACTCTTGATACTGTTGCCCAACATGAACAGAATAAAACCACCTCAAGTAAGCTGACATCTCCTTCCACAAGCTGGGAGTTGAAGTTGTCCCAGCTTCTGAAGCAGGGGAAAAGGGAAATTAATTTGCTTGAGACTCCTTTACTAGCTGCTGATTCCAGGCYTTCAGCTAAGCCCTGAGAGCTGTCCCACTTTAGAGGTACACGTACACTGAACTAGCTGCTTGGTGCCAAAACTTAGCACATAACTAAGACCGAAGCATTCCTAAATCATCAACTCAGACTTTTTTTGACAAAATGGATATCTTGCTTCTCCCAGTGCAAAGCTGAGACTGTCCAGTATATACTGTGCTAAAGCAGCACATCTGTTTCAGTTCATCAATGGCAGAGTCCAGCCAAGCTATATTAAACAAATCATCACTAGTGTAACGTTTCCATAATTTCTGTGACAATTACTTTACTACAGAAAGCATTTCTCCCCTAAGGCTTATAAGGCATCTGATTTTCTCCAGTGCTATTTCAATCACAGTATATACAGCTCATTGATRAGTGAAAGAAGCATTTGTCTCTCTGAGAAGAAATTATTTTCAAATCTATTCCCTGACATTTATTTTCTGATTTCCATCAGAAGACCTAATCCTGTCAGCATGTATGCAATGAGAAGAATGAAAAGTGAAGTTTTGCATGTTGCGGATTTAGCACAGATAAGAAGGTCCACTAGTCCTAGAAACAGTGTCTGTTCAGACACCTCASCAGGCACTGGTTGTGTAAAACTGCCACACAACCAAACACCTCTGTGTTTACAGCCTGCTTTAACATTCCTCTGAGCTGAATGGGAAAACACCYATCAAGATCTGAGCTTCTGATAACTTACCATCTTGTATTTTCTCCCACCACCATCTAGAGTATGTTGTCTTTTTTTGTCAATGATTTCTTTGTACTGAGAGACACAAGTGCAACCAGATTACAAAATGAATGAGAAAGCAATCAATTAGTGGTTTTCTTTGTCTTCCTAAAAAGAGAGCACATTATGCTTCCTGTTCCCATCAGGGTCATGGTGTTTATGCAACTTACAGCCCCAACACCCAGATAATAAGGCCTTGCAAAAGGAGCTCTCCTAACWCACCAGCTAACACCATTCTAAGAGTGGCACTGCTCCACAAGCAAAGAAAAGAATAATTTACCACTGTGCAAGCTGCTCTCAGCATGTGCTTGGTGTCTTCTCCTCCACCCTCAATAACCACAGTATCACATAATTTCTTCCTTTTATTCTTCCTCAAGGCCCTGAAAGTCCTGGCTGGTCCTTTTTGCAAGTTAAGCCTTTCCCATCCATTATCACAGCACTACTCATTGGCTCATGCCTAACATAATGTGTTCTTAGGAAAGGAAAAAAAGCCAAGTACATTTTACTCAGATGTTAATATTGAATATGAAGCTGCATTTTTGTATGTTTATTCMTCTAGAGTCTATAAATTTTCCTTTAATAATTTTACCACATATTTTTCCCTAACAAAAGATTACTGTGCACCTCACTGTAAAGCTACCCCATATGAACAAATCAACGTGGGAGTCACTTGGAGATGGCACTGGCCCCAAGGTAARACAAGTGTTGGATGCACTCAGATTGTCCAGTCTCATCCAGAAGCTAAAAAAATCCTTCTACTACTTCCACTGGAGATGTCCCTGCAAACAGCTGATCATGTAAAGCTGAACACTATGCCCATCATAATTAAATACTAAATGCAAATTCAGCTAAATTTAARTCTCCCCCTTAATGAATATCAACAGGAACTCTGCCACTGGAACRCAGTTTTTATTTCATACCTCCATGAAGAAAAGAGAGAGACAGATAAAAAGAATTCCAGTACAGAAAATGTTATGTCATTTTACCATTTTAAGGGGATTATTAGATTAGAAGACATTAATGAATAGAACAGAAAAAGGCAGTGTAAGTTAGGTCTTAYACTATATTAAACTTTTCAGACAACAAGCTGCAATACACATAATTCAACTGAAAAAGAAACTGTGTAGGTGATTGAAAAAGAAGTAAGGTAGACAAAGGCACTGCTTCTCCTGACTCAGTTAAGCTCTTTTTGGCTATAAGATTTAATTTMATGAGAGCTACTCTATATCCAAAAGGATGTACAGTCAGTACAATCCTCAACAGCACTTGATAATTTAGTATTCTTTTTCTCCAATTCAGCATTTTAATACAACTCTCCCAAAAGTTTACTGTGATCCATAGATAGCTGGACAAACTAAGTTATGCAGCTAAAGGAAATCTCTCCAAGTGGTGAAGCCAATATTATAGTGCCTGTTCCCCCAGCAGGGAACAGCCAGCACCAGGATCGCTGCCACATTTTCTTTTTGAAACAAATACTGGCATCAGGCAATGTAGAGAAGCTACAATGAATAAAAGCTGCTGGGTAACAAGAGCCATTTGTTTGGAGAACTGAGAAATAATGAAAGCTTGGCACACTTATGTAATGTGATTAATTTATTTAAGCTTAAAAGCACTCTTTTTGAGTGTAGATTAACTAGCATGAATTTTCAAAGTACATACACACTTTTTGAAATTTTGATGCACAGCCCAATGATTGTCATTGTGCCGTGAAAATTCACCTTTTATCCATATGATTAGGAAGCTACRCAAGAAAAATATTCTCAGTTTGCAATATATTTAGTTATTTTAGAATTCTCTTGTGTAAAGAGGTTCTAGAAGGATAAAGAAAATCAGACCTACCGCTATGATATCCAGAGTGTTATCACAAACCTTGCGGATCTCAGCATTTTTATCATGCATCAGGTCTATAAGATATGCTGGAGCTTCTGCAAAGAAACTGTTAAGGAGAAAAACATTTTTCTTTTCCTCCTTCACGACCCTGGGTTCTTCAAACTGCAAATTTCACKAAGAAGCAGAGGCAGGAATTTTTCATCTCATGTAGTGAGAAAGCATTGCTCAAGTGTCGGTGCTTTATTGTTTCAGAATTAGAAAGAGATACAACTTTTTTTATTTTTTTAAGCTAGCAGCCTAGGAGTCTAAACAGGAGACAAAGAACAACCCAAATGGTTTCTCASATATTCCACAGAGCTTCAAGGCAAAAAAGCACATTAGGAAGTATTCCCTGTATTGTTAACAATGTAACCACCAACTTATTATCCCTACTAGGGCTCCATTCAACCCATCCTGAATGCTTCAATAAAATTTAACATTGTTAAGGCCCACAAAACTTCAGACTGTGCAACATATTAATGGTGCAATGCAAAGTTTGCCTATGGTCTACCYAAGTTCTACTATGAACTGTGAAATATATTATGATTTGCAAAACAAATTCATACATTAAATCAGACTGGATACAAACTAACGAGTCATCTGGTACAGTGATCCCTCTCCTACTCCCCTCCCTGCTTCAAAGCAAACTAACTTTTAATCTTTACTATTAATCTWACAGTCCCTTTACATGCTTAGGCATGCTTAGGGTTTTTTCTTCAGCTGAAATAAATATTTATAAAGAAACCTCTGAGATCATGAGGTTACTGCAAGAGAAATATAAATCAAACACCAGCAATGGCAAATTAAGTGCTGCAATTCTAGATGTTTAATCTTTAAAAAGATACGTGTTTCCTTAATGATGACATCTCTGGTGGCTTGGTGGAACACCATCTGATAAAAGACATAGATGATCTGGCAGACAAACTCATCATCTTCCTGCTGAGCTGCAAGGAGAAAAAATMYACAATTTCAAATCTCACAATGGAARCTTTTGATGCTTAAARAGTTGYGAAGATGTGGRAAAACCAAAATCTATTAGACYACCAATCARGATCTATCAATAAYRGAGTAACTGCTCCTCCTTCCTTACACAAACACCTGCCCCTGCCTTGCAAGGAAACAGGAATATCAAATACAGCTCTTGCTTTGCACAGGTCAAGTCAAACATGGCAATGGTACCRTTTAGAAGCTCAATGAGTGCAGGGATGATTCCAGATTTAGCYAGCAGAGCAGCACAAGAGTCATCCATGGAAACGGTCCCAATCATTATCACCACTTCCAAAACGAGGTCATCCTCGGCAGAACCTGCTAAGTCAGAATGCAGAAATATTACCTCTCTCAGCAATTCTTAATCTAGTGGGAGTTGTGTATTTATCTGCAGATACAATTCTATTCTTCAGTGTTACATTTTCCTAAACAATCACAAACTATAAAGACTCTACTCTGAGCACTCTAAAGGTTCTTCAAGAGACTCTACTTTGAAAGCCCAAACAAACCTTTTACACACCTGGTTTTAGCTTATCCTTGAGATATGGAACCAGTTTGTACTCCTTCAGCACAAGTTCCCAGTCCAGCTCTGGTAAGGTCAAATTTGCAAGTGTGCCCAGGCATTCAATCACAAATTCCTCTTCCTCATCATTTGATACCTGAGCTGCTAAATCACCAACATAYTCCTGAAGAAAATACAGCAACAACCATTACAAATTAATAATCTGAAGAATTTACAACTCAGCCAAACTAAAGCTGGTTCTCAAAAGAAAACTAAGGCAACTTCGCTCCTGAAGTAAGAACTAACAAGGCAGTTTCAGTTCCAGTTGATGAATAATAAAACATAAAGTTTCAGCACTCTTCCTCTCCATCCTTTCATTTTCAAGTGACATGGATCATTTGTTCAAATGTTCCACAAGTAGTTACTACAATACAGAGTTTGGAAAAGATATTAGATAACAAGGAAAAGAAGATAGAAAATATCATCATGCATAAGTGGCAGTCATGGAGTTCTTTACCTAAAGATTTTAATAAATAAYTACAAGACTTTCTGAAGACATTAAGAGGGAAATAATGGATTTTACTTACTCATTTCATACTGCAGCAAGACTATTTGATATTCAACCCACATTTTAAGAATATATTTAAAATCTCCATGATTAGAATGTTGTGTTTCCCTCCCTTCTTCTGAAAGGGTGGCTTTACAGGATTAATATTTAAATACTAAGGATTTAAAATACCCACAAATACAACACATTTGTCACAGTGGGGAAAAAAGAAAAAGCACCAGATTTTGCTYTCTAGGTCTTAAAGCTGAAATTTAGGGTAACTTAATTGTCATGATGTTCATCCCAGCAGCTGGGGCTTTTTTGTTTGCTCGCTTGGGTATGTGTGTTTCCTTTGAAACTTACTGGATAAGGCTTAAAATCTGTTTTCCCCATAGTGGGGGATTCAAACTCTGATCTACAAGCTGAGATAACCTTATAAAACAAAACATAAATCACCCCAGGACAGGCAAGAAAACTTAAACTGGACAGCCTGCAAAACAAGCCACAGCACCTCTCCAGAGCCAGTCTATTCCAGTAGGAAAAARAAGAGAGATCACATTAGGTAAGACAAACTACTTACAATAAACTGGCTTTTAGTTGGCCCATCATGTTGTGAAATATTCCTGATCATCTTCATTAACAACGGGTCCTTAAACTTCAAAGCCCGCTTCATTAGCATTTTCAAACCATTTCCTGAAAAGAAACAAACACTTAGAAAATCCTCCAAATAAAGAAATGAGGAAAGTACTGAATGATCAAAAATCAACATGCACACACAAACACACACACACACACACACAAAATACTCTAACCTTTAAAAGTTTAAAAGGAAAAATAAAGAATCTAGACAGGAAAWATTTCTTCTTCATGTTTAAATTGAAAAGAAAAACCTGCTCTGTATAAATTCTATAGCTTCTCTGAAATAGCTACTATGGCCATACACCCTGGTGGGACACTAAGTCAGACAAATAACAAAATGCTTCAGTTGCTCTTAGCTATTTATTCAAGAAAGAATAAAGTTTCTAGAACTAGAACTAGTTTCAAGTTTCTAGAACTAAGRAAGTTCTAGATCCAAACCACAATCCTAGCATCTAATGCAGTTAGAGATGCAGCAGAGCTGTTGGTCCAAGCACAGAGATTTCTCTCCCCATTCCATGAAATAAATACATTGTTATAATTTTTACAGTTTATTTATCATAGATCAATACATGGGAACATACACAGACTTGAAGTACCTGACTGCATGGAGCAAATCCCAGTGTTATCCTTACATTTCCAAAAGATCACCCTACTAGTTTGAGTTTCACTTGTACGTTTAACATAAAATTGGATCTCCCTGCCCCGCTTCTACAGAGCTATGCACAGAAATTTTAAAATGGGATTTCAGGCCACAGAATCTCTTGATTGCAATTGGGCTTTCTGAAGTCTACTAACTGACTGCACTACTTCATAGGGAAAATGTTAAGTACAAGTGAAAGTTGGAGCTACTGAGTAATAGTGTTCACTTAAAACTGCTAGTATAAAAATAATGAAACCTTAAAAGGAATCCAGAGCTACTGAAAGAAATGCAGAACCTATCTAGACCATGAAGAACCATATTAGAACCCAAGAGAAGCTCAATTAAAAAAAAAAAATTGAAAGATAGAACTAAAAGATGTCACTGCTGTTCATTTGATACTGGCAGGTGAAACCCTGATTAACCAAAGATGGATTTTAGGCATCAGGCAGAATAAAATTCTGGTGTCTCCACGCAGCCACAGTTGCTCACAGCAATGTCATCAGCCTCTTTTTCAGAACTGTGAGGTGAGGTGTGGACATCTCCCTCAAGTGTCATTCCTGCCACCAAGAGCAAATGTGAGGAGGATGTGGCCATTTGCTTGCAATCATTGCCCAAGCAGATGTGTTTTATTTTTTAAAAAYATACATACATTTATAAATAACTCAAATATACATAATTTACATATGTAAGCATAATAGAAGAAAATAGATTAAGTGGTATTATCTCAAAAATCCCATTAAAACCTTAGTCCACTCACCTTCACAGATGAGCTGTACATTTCTTTTGTTGGCAGCAAGGTTAATACAGAAAGAAATAAGTTCCAGGTCAACTCGCTCATCAGGACATTCAAAAAGCATCTTCATTAACTGCCAAGAAACACAAGCACACTTTGGTCATTAATCTTTCCAAAGCATTAGAAAAGGAGTGTTATGATATCAACTGCACTATCTTAAAAATAATTCATATTCAACCTTTCTACAGGAACAGTAAAAGTTAAAAAGGTCAGGAGCACGAGATGCATAGTACCATTATTTAGGGATAACAATACTTATAAAGTGTCAAAAATGGTAATCACTCGTGACCTTAAATTAACTTGGCTTAGTTACATTTTATTGCTACCACTGAAATTTTTACTGGTTTTTACTGATTTTTAGTATTTGTGAATGGATAAATTTGTTTTGAAAGCTTAGGTGGACTTATTACAGGGAAAAAAACCCCACAATTTAGTTCCACAGAAAATCAGATTAATACCTGGTAGTTTTATTAAATTATGACTCTAAACATATACTTTACTGCAAAATAATTCTACTACTGTTTTGCTGTGAGGTTACCCCATTGACAGGTAATTTAGCTGTTTCTGCAGCACTGTTCTTCATCTTTGCAGCTTCCAGCTAGAGCTGAACACTGCCACATCCCAAAGGCTTCTCAGTAGTAATCCTATTCTTCTGGYAACATTAATGCAAGTAGACAATCACCTCTAAGTCTTTTCCAAATGTTTAGCAAATGTCAGTGAACTGCCAGGTGATTCCTAAACCTATGGACTGCCATMATTTCATACACCTGGCCCTGTACTGTCCATTACATCACAGCCTGGCTATCTGGGCTCATTTAGTTCAATAGAAACAGTTTTTGAAATGGCATTTTGAATATAGGAACATAACTAAAATAAACTCATTTCTTTTTCCTCTGTTCCCAGTCCTGACAGACAAGTTGCACAGCTTCAGGGCTGTGGGACATCGCCCTGTTTGCTTTTAAAACCCATTCAGTTCATAAGACATGTTTAGATTATAATGCAAACCAGTGTGATGACAAGACTAAGATTGTGGGAAGAGGAAACATCTAAACCTCAAGATAAGTAGCACATAAGGTACAAAAACTGTAGCTCAGCTTGTGTCAGAAACAGRTGGGAGAAGAAGAAAGAAATAACTAGTCACAAAATTGAATGATTAATTAATCATTACATATTTGTGTGCTTGCCCCCTGGTGGAAAGACAAGTTTGTAATGCATTAAAAGCTAGAGAAAGTAGGTGAAGAATCCATKTAAAGAAAAGAAAATAAATAGAAACAATAGGATTATAGGAATTCCCWCCAGAGTATTTTACTCCAGCCATTCAGTATGTTTACCTGTTACCAGATAGAAGGCTGTCATTCCAAATGGACCCAGAAAAACCCCAAAATAAAAAAAAAATTATGTTACAACATAGCTATTTATGTCTTTTCCTGAGACTTTGGCACACTCATTTAAAAGCTATCATTGATTTCTTCCTCCCTTTCTTAAAAAGGTAGAATCAGATTTCTCTATGTTGTTTTAAGAACTTATAAAATCTCAACTTTATTAAATCCTTAAGCCTGACAGTCACATAGGAGGGAATTAACAGAGAAGAAAACTGCCACTTAACAAGTAGAACACGAGCATTCAAAAATCACCCCCTGCAATTCTTCTGTTACAAAACCTTTAAAAACAGATTTTTAAAACTCYTCAAATAATTTGAAGGGAAACATTCTCATTACTTACACAATACAAAATTAAATGTTTAACAAGATGGGATTACCCTGTTAATTACTGAACTACTTCTCTATAAAAAGAAAAAATATATCCAGTTTCAATTAAAGCCGTTCAAATTCTAAAATAATAGTTCCATGCGAGYTCCATGTTTCCCATTATGTCTTCATTTAATTTGATTGCTTCTTGTGCCACTTCAAAAGGAAGAGTAATTGCTGCCAAATAGGAAATATTAAAATTAAATTTGTTCTGCTTTTACTATGTCCATTGTCATCTTTTACTGATTTAACAGGAAGGCAGTAAAAAGACTGCAGCATGTGCAATGAAGAGGCAGTAGTGTTCAATCAGACAAGTCCCATATTGAGTATCAGATACCACAGACCAGGACTGAAATCACTGTGTCTAGACTCTCTGGCACCTGCCTTCACTTATTTACCAGTGACCAGAGGCCAACCCCCACAGCTCTCTGTTCACATACACCTCTGTCCAACCCCCTCCYCAAGCCCAGCTCCAACATCTTTGAATGATTATGCCAGAACTGCATGCCTCAGGAATCTCTCCTGAGCGGCTACTCCCCAACTCTGCTGTTTGAAGTGATGCTCTGGTTTCTGAACTTCAGCAGATAATGGCGGACAGGAGCAAAGGGGGCTGTCAAGAGAGGACGTTTACCAGCATTAAGCTGAAAAGAAGCTTAGAGATCAAAGAGGGGCCAAACAGGACAAGTGTGGTGGAAAACATGTGGGCAGCTTTGGAGARCCTTGCACACCGCTCTGCGGTAAAATATTAAATATCACCATGACATCACTGCCTAATCATGCCCTTTGATTGGCCAGGTTATTACCAATAAAGGCTTTTATAAGCATCTGGATGGCATTTGCACCTATTTAAACAAAACACGCATTGCTGAGGTCTAAACAAGAATGAACTGTTAATACTCACTTTTAACTGTTACTAGAGTAGCACCCACTAACTCCTGCAATCCACAAGGATGTTTACCCAGGACAGCACGMGCCATGAGCCCTTGGCAACTGCTTCACACAGTCAGAATTACAACAGAGGGCTGATTTTTCCAARCACTTTGTACAACAGCTAGACAGTCATTATTGTTTGCCAGTCTAGATGAACACCTTTCCTCAAAAAGAGACAAACCCACACAAGGACATATACCACTACTGAAAAGAGATTTTGGGTTTCCTGGGTAGAATTAGATAGCAGTGAGCCTGTTTAAAACAGTAATTTTCTTTTCCTGATGCCTTATCCTCTTCCTAATGCTTTCTGCTACCTGTCTTCCTTGATAACCATCCTAGGTCACTCRAACACTCATTAGTAAAATTTAAGCTCTGGTTGTTCAGCTTCTTTTTGAACAGTTGGCAGACGCGATCTGTGAAGCATCAATAGCAGAAGTAGCCAAGGTTACTTTCCAATTTTGTTGTTTACTTCACTAAAGCCCAGTGAAGGCAGCAGAYTTGTTTCCTGCTCCACTAGTCTTTGGATACAGCTGTATAAGCAYTGGGGATCTAAGAGTCATACCAAGACACCCTGAAAGCACATCACAAGCAAGTCCTGAGACACTCATGTAGGAATTGGAGTTTGGCTGGTAACTGATCAGAATAAAGCAGGCCCCTTACATCATGCAAATGCCTTAAATAATTGCTTCTTGTGGTAGGAAAGACAGTCAGCAGGATGTTTACAAGACCACTTTGTGACATATACTAGTTATTTCCACCAGTTCGCCCCTCTCTATTATCCAAAATCATATTGTATGTGGAAAAACTCCACCAATTTTGTCATGAGATTATGACCAGAAACATTCCGATAACTTTCCATGACAACTTTCCATTCTGGAAGTATTTGATGTAAAAAACACATTTGGCAGGAACGAAGAAACCATGGTGCAATTCTGAAAAGCTACTAGAGAGCTTTTACACTTAGTCAATAAAGGCTTTCTCAAGTCCAGCGTCACCAAGGCTGAGAAAAAGATCAGTAAGAGAGGAGTCTGTACTTCAGAAAAACAAAAAACCCCAAACCAACCAGAAACAACAAAACACATGCACACAAAAAAACAAATATTCACACAAAACCCCAAACTCATGATATTGGGTCTGTGCTTGAGTCAATGAGTTACGTAAAAAAATGCAGCCTGAAAGACCAGTGAAGAGCTTTCCACAGTCATCAAGTCTCCCTTGTACATGCCTGCAGTTGGAAAAAGAATTGTCATGTAGGAACATAACCCTCCTTGGCTGGTTTCCAGTTCATATCCTGTAATACTSGAGACACTGAAATTTTGATGCCCAATGGGATCAGGAAAGAATGCCTTCTAAAACTGTAAAGGAAATACTTTCTACCGCATTCCCTAAGGACCCACTCTGCACAAGCTTTAATCTCTCTCAGGCATTCCTGATCTTCTGGAGGAACCCACCAGGTCACCTGTAATTTCAGCAGTTCATCGGTGCAGCTCAAGTGTCAGCAGCACTGACAGAGATCAGCCATCTCTGCTTTCACAGGGGACCATGAAAACCCAAGAAGGGCAGTCCCTGCCTGATGAGGAGACACTTCACTGTGAGCAGCACCGTGGCTGTTCCCTTTGCCACCTGCGGGTGTCAGTGCGAGCTCTGCCATGAGAGACTGACTGCACAAAGGAAGATGSATTTTATCAGCTCATCACATACCTGAGGGATACAGTCTGTGTATGCAAACATCGATTTAAAGCAGTCGTCCATGCTTATGTGATACAGAATGCAAATCGCTACTTTTTTGTTATTTTCATTTCCTAGGAGGAGAAAAAAATTATTAATAGAAATATTTTTAGCTGTTGTTGAGCACTTAATAGAGGAAAACAAAAAGCAGAACAGTCCTAGCTAAAAGGAAAATTTAAATCAGAAATGACACATTAATGAAAGGATCCTGGCCTGGCCTAGCCAAATGAACCACATATTATGCAAAGAGAAAACAAGGGCAATGGTAAATATTCCCTCTTCTTCCCAGCACCTCAAAACACTTCCTTAACCCCACTCTGCAAGGACTACATTTTGTGAAAGCAATGCTTAATAAGGACTGGTCATCCATAGAAAGCCCTCATCAGTTTCCAGCTAATAAACTGAGATTTAGCTGCGGACATTTCTATTGAAATAACATSCTTGTTTCAAAGTGAAATAATAAACAATGTACCAATGCCACAGAGAAAAATAAGAACCACCACTATAAAGCATTAYAGAAGGAATCCACTGCCTTTCAAACAAATCACATACTGATTGTTTTATTATACTAAATGACAGTATTAATCCATAGGTGCCTTTTGTGGTTCATATATTTCAAAAACTACATTAGTGTATTTTCATATTAATACTTACCAAAGAGAAAGACTCTCAAAAAAAATTGGAGCAGTTAATGTGAGTGGGCTGTGAAGTATTTAACTGAAAGGTTCTATAAAATCATCTTACACAAACATACAAATGTTTAAGAATAACACAGAAGAATTTGGTTCTGACTCGCTGCTGAAACCCAGACTGAGAATTCTCAGGTTTTCCTCTAGCCCTACATGAGCAGGATACTGGCTATATGTGGGATAAAGTCTTCCTCTGAATGTTTACATTAGCTAGATCAGGATGTAATAAGGTCACCAACTCAAAATTCATTCACAGTTCTTACACAACTCATCAGCAATATCCCACCTCCCACTTCTAAGTCAGAACAAATCTGTGTAATAATTTGGCAGAGCATGAAGACCTCAAACAGCAATCAACACAGTGAAATCTTCCTTCTGCATACATCACAGGGAGCTGGAATTTCCTTTAAGCAGCAAGGATATCATGCCTTTATCCCAAGAATAAGCCTTTTTCAAAACTAAATTATCAAATGAAACCCCATGAAACCCCTCTGGCAGTTGCCATACAAGTGAGTGAAATATTCTCAGCCATGTCAAACCTAAAATCATAGCTGCCCTTTCAAATCCTTCTAGATTCTTACTGTTTGGAAAAACATAACTGGTATCACAATCTTCCATACATTTAACAGCTGGAGGAAAGACAATRTCCAAATCTAAAAGCTACTCTGACAGTTATGAAAATAAAAGCACAGAAGGTACTAGCAAACAAAATGAAGGAGTTTTTATCTTTAGGGCTTTTTTTATGACTCATCTTACCTAMCTATTCACTAGTAATAACATTGTGAAAACAAGAATTACATGAAAAAAACTTCCCACACATACAGCTAAAGGTTTCTTCTATACAAATTCCAAAGATTACAGAGTAAACTATTCCTTCAAATTTCATGGTTCTAAGGAAAAAAAATTAAATATGTTTACACTGCTCTTAACACTTTGCTCCATGTTTCTATTTAAGACCTAAACACAAGACTCAGATTAAAATTACACTTGGCCAAATATTGCAGGAAACAGTATGTGAAGTAAAATGTAAGCCTGTAAAAAAGGGAGAAAAGCTTCCCAGAACAATAAGAAGAAAAACTGGAATGAAGTTAGACCAGACCTTCAGCACATATAAACTTGCAGACCATTAACAAGAATGATGCTATATTTTACTGTTTAACCTCTGTCCTTTGAGGGTTTTCTTTTTTCCTCTGTATTTTGCAAGTTTCATTTTTTTGCTAATATAAAGCATCAGCAGCTTCCTAGTATTTGGCAGTATTAGTGGCTTATTTTCAAACATAATAGACTGATAYAGCAGCAAATGCCTTCAGTTTTTTTTTCAGAAGAAACTCTGCATGATTTTCTAACTCCTTTTTTTTTAAAGGCCCAGCCTGTCACAAAAACCCTTCTGATAACAGAATACCACCTTGGCTGTCGGTGCTAAATGGCAACACTACCTGTGTTTCAAAACTACCAAAAATAATCAAAAATACCTAGATACTCAACCTAAAGTGTGAAGAATATCTGGAATTCAAATGAATTTATTTTATCCAAATGAACTCTTTGAGAGGTGGTTTATAATGACTGGCACTTAATCATTCTCCAAAAGTATGTTCCATAAAGCAGATATCATGACACACAAAAGGCAAAGATAGCTAGAGTTTTAAACAGAAGAACTGAATTTAAATTCCTCCTTGCTGTGCAGTYATCTGACCAATTTTCCCTGAATTCCTCTGTCCTATTGTCAATAGGGGAAAGAGAGAAGGGTTTAAAGAATTCAAGTCACAGACAMATCYTGTACAGCCTCAGCMAGGAAGYACATTTCAATTGTKARTAAAACAACTGAATTCTACCAACTTGATGATAAAAGTAAACTACAGAACTAAAGCTGAAAGAAWACAGCCTGCAACTAACCCATCTTTTAAGTACTTAATGGCGTATGCACTTTAATTTCCCAGAAAGGAAGAAATTTCAGGCTGATGCCTGCAAGTTTCACCATTTTACTTTCCCTATGGATGYCCTTTGGTGAAAGAAAAGCAGAACCTTTTGACTTTTTCAGTCCTCATGCAAAACAGCAGTGACTCCTGATCCAAAAAATCMAACATTCCAGGAAAATCAGGAAGAGGTGGGCTGTTTCTAAAAACATGATTTAACACAACAGCTCATCTCAACCTCAGTTGGGAAGGATACACCCTGTTGGAAAGCTCACTGGAAACCAGGCAGAATCAGTTTGTTGAAGATTAGGAAGAGAACAGACACAAGAGTTAAAGCATTTTAAACTCTAAGCATCCCCTGAAGGTTACACAAAAGGATAAGAAGGGACAGACTCTGAAAAACCTACCAAGCCAATTGTCAGCCTTTTACATTGGTACTTCACTTCCAAAAATAYCAACTGGCAGCTGTTGACTATTACATGAATATGTCAGTACCAAGCTTACTTTTCCTAATTATTTTCTACTCATCTGAATGCTAATGAACGAACCCTGAGTCAAGCATTGCATAAAGACTTGGCTGTAAAAATTTCAATCTCTGCCCAGCACCTGGCTGGAAAACAGCTTTCCAAAGCATGGAAGTGATACCTTTTCTGCTATTTTTGACCACTGCTAAAGGCCACACGTGAAAAAGCAGACATTGCAAGGAAGAATTCCTTATGACTGGGTACAGTAGGCATCAATTATTGCCCTAACTAAAAAAAGCAAGAGAAAAAAGAAAAAACCAGATTTCTGCCAAAAGTGCTCATAAAAATCACCAAAGTTTTGGTGGGGTGCCAGAAAATTGTGGCCTACAAATGTTGGTAGTTTTGAGCATCAAGCTTTTATGACTGAAGGTGGAATAGCCAAATGGCCTAAAGCAGTAAGGGCAGCCCTGGAAAATAATGGCCTAGTCATTATGGATTCTTCTGGTATTTATGGCAATAAAACATGAATCATAATGAACTCATTGGATATTAAATGTGGGGGTCATGAGCTCTTTGATAGGATTTCCACAAGAATCTACCATTAATTAACCAAATAATTATTTGAAAGTGTAACTGAATTAGCCTTAGTTCTTATACAGCCATTCCTGAGAAATTGGTCATTCCCAGCTGAGTGCAGTTAATGCCTTAACAAACCAGTCATTAACTGCAGTTACTGATTTTGTGGGAATTATTGTGTTATAAAATACACTCAACAGTTTATAGAAACAATACTTAGATTTTTTTTTTTTTTGCAGCTGTAGTTCAGCTGGAGCAGATGGGATGGAAAAATATCAGGTCCCTGGGGCTGTTTTCACAACTAGTTTTCTGCAAATTAGAGAGGGAAATAAATACATGATGGGTTCTGAGTTCAAAATGGCCTCAGATTTTTAGCCTTTGAACATTAATAAGAAGCCATGTGCCAGTTCTGGGGACCAATACCTGAATTCCATGTCTAGTTCTTACTATGGTTGAAGATCTAAATGCTATTAGTAGCAGAAGCTAAAGAAAAAAAAATATGATTTCTTGATCACAAGATCAGGTCCTATATTTTGGTTGCCTTTGTGAACTTAARAAAAAGCCTCCATTAGTTCCGTGACAAAAAGAGAAACCCTAAAGCTGTAAAACTGAATTGCCAGTATGAGTTGCAGGAGCAGCATTTAGCTTTCAAATACTAAAGTAAAATCAAGAATAAAAATTATGGACTAAATTCTTCAAATATAACATTATCAGGAAATCAAGTAACCATCATTTCTAATGGAATCATCAATGTCTCCACATTAGATATGAAATACACCCTATCTCACCCATGTGCGAAATATCAACAACACTAAATCAAAACCAGAACAGAAATTAAGATAAATACCTATTAAAATGGCAGAGTGAATCTTTTTTTCAGTTTCAAACCCTAACACCCTCACATGATCTGCTGCAGAATTAGGCAAGTAAGAAATCTAGGTGATAAGAATGCCAAAAACTGAATATCAGATCTAAGTACTGTCTCACAYTGCTGTCAGAAAACAGCTTAATCAAGAGTTGATTCAAATGTATCATAATTAGTGATGATTTTAAGAAAAAAAATGATGGAAATGTATCTCCATTTACCTCTGTACCATATCATTCCCCATAACCAGCTCTGAAAGTCAGATTAAGTTAGTCCATGTGTGCTTTAGACACATRTTGGTTTGATTTACATATGTAAATAGAAATCATATTGGATCTATCAGTTTATTTTATCACGAGAGCCTGAAAGAATTTTCAAATCTGCTCAGGCTCAAGGAGACTAGACATTGTAAATAAAACATTATGATAGTAATTACATACTAATAACCCCTCCTGTACCACCTTTATGTTATTTGAAACTGGCTTCATACCACAAGCCTTATTTCTAATCTCAATGTTGCCATGGTTGGCTTTGGGGTTTAGTTTTCTCAGGGYTTTTTTCTCCCCT